AGTTAGTTGTGCTGGTCAGGGTTAGGGTGGGTTCTCTCTTTTCCGGAACGAAAATAGCCGTATAAATCTTTTAAGCTTGCTATTCGAAAAGCCATATGTTGTGCGCGACGGAAGTCAAAACCAAACCGATGTGCTTCGAGAAACCAAAACAAACGCCGAGAGAAGGCCAAACAAACCAAAAATAATGGCACAAACTTAAACAACCAATTTTAACGTGGTTCGGTAAGTTGTCTACGTCCACGGAGTAAGAAAGGTGATGAGTTTTTCACTATAGAGAATGAGAGTACAAACTGAGATTGCTAATCGCTCAAACCAATAAACTAATCTCACCAACAAAGCTCTCAATTTCTCAAACAATAACCCTAACCAATAGCTCAGAAAGATCTCTCTTTTCTGTGCTCCAATATCCCCAAAACAATTCCCAATCAAAGCTAAAGAAACCCTAAAACGTGTATTTGTATTTATAGCAAACACCAATCCCAAACAGAACAGGAACCAAGCCCAGACCCAGACCCGACCCGCGGTCGACCGTCGAACCCATCGCGGTCGATCGTGGCAAACGACAAAACCCAAAAACCAATTACAGTGTCTCGCGGTCGAGCCAAAAGTCCAGAGACTTTTCTATGTGCTGTGCATGTTCGCGGTCGACCGCCGCGTCACTCACAGTCGACCGTGCAGCATCCAAAAAACTGTCCTTCGTCTTTTTGCCTGAACTTCTTCGCCGTTGTTCCCAATTCTACACCATATTGATGTAAATGCGTCACTTGATGAAGGCCGGAAAGCACGGAGATTCACGGGCTTCTACGGAGCTCCGGGAACAAGCACGCGTCGTCAGTCATAGGAAGTTCTAATAAAAACTTCGAGAGGAAAATGCAGCTCGATCGGCATGGCTTTGTTGCGGCGACTTCAACGAGATGGTCTCGAATTCTGAGAAACGTGGCCAAAAGTGTGAACCGGCTAGCCAGAATGCGAGCTTTTAAGGAGGTCATCGTTGAGTGTCATTTTCTCGATATGGGACTTGATGGCGGTGGTTTCACTTGGCGCAACGATCAACAAGATGGGAGTGTGGTCAGGGAGAGATTGGATCGTTTTCTAGCCACCATTGAATGGAGCGGACTTTTTCCAAACTATATACAGCATAGTTACACGGTACGCGGTACATAGCGGGTCAAGGTGGTACGAATTCGGATACGCAGTTCGCCTCTTAGAAAAATTTGAATTCGTTAGGGGTAGCTTGCTTTGGTATGCAAGTTCGGTTAGTGGCACATTGTAAATTTTTCTCGAGCGCATTTGAAGTTTTCCAAAGTATATAATAGGAAAGCAGAAGCTAATTATGATTTTTAATACTTTTTCATACAAAATGTTTAAATACATTTTTTCAATGGAATTTGTTTCTTTGTTCGGTATTTTTATACAGAGCTCGTTTTAGGATCATGGCTTCGTTTTACATTTAATTAACATACGTGTTTAGTTACAGTAAAGTCATCAGCTCATATACTCTATTGTGTCTCTCACTTCACTTAATTGCACACATTGCATTGCGTCTTGCGCACGTGCACTAAAAGAGACTTTGCATCTAGCATACCTGTATATGATATGCCAATTTTGGAGAACCGGTTTGTGTATTGGAGGAATCTGTTCGTAAATGTACCGAGAATCAGTCTGCAGGAACTGTTCAAAGGAGGTCCGGGGTATCGTGCAACGATGCTATATAGTGAATCACTTGGGTTACTCATCGAGTGACCGTTGTCCAATCCAACTTTTATCCAATCCAACTTTTATTTAATTCTAGCCCCCAATCAAGAAGCGGGAAGCCAAAATGCACAAGGAGAAGAAGGGAGAAAAAAAAAGTTTAATTTCGATTGGAGGCTATGTGGTGCGAGGAGGGAGAGTGTGTCGATGTGGTCAACAAAAGCTGGTGAGGGTCGACCTCAAAATATCTTGGCATGAAGCCCGACATAAAATTGAAGCAAGAAGGCGTAACTTGATTTCTTGGAGCTCGAATAAATTCGGTCACATGGGTAATAGAATAAAGTTGCTGCAAAGACAATTGAGAGAAGTCCGAAATCATCACGCGCGAGACTCTCTTCTCAATCGAGAGAGGGATTTGGTTTCAGAAATAGGCTTATCAAGTGGCCAAACTTGTATAATACTGTTGAGATCATTATATACACCATCTTCAAAGCGTACAGATTTGACATCAAGCAGCTGCAAAAAATCAACATTACAAGATGGAGAACACCTCCCTCCTCCCCTTCTTTCCTCGGTTCACCCTTTGACAGCCACAATTTACAATGTACAAAATATGGTCTGCAGATCGATTACTTTTCCATCTCCCCGAGTATTTCACCCATGTAGCTGAGTATTCATGTCAAATAAAGCGCGAGATACCTGAGCCTCTTGTCACAAATAAAGAGAACCTGATAAACCACCACCATGACCATGCAAAAATCGAACTTTAAGTAATTTCTGATAGATTTTAGGTAATATTCCTGATGATTGTTTAACTTCGTCATGGCATTGCCAAGGCTTCTTTCTCTCTTCTTGGATCGATCAGCGTTAGCTGTTGCTGATGAAGATTTCTGAAGTGGTAAATTAAATTATCGAACCACTGAGCTTCTAGCTATGAGCACTAAGCATGGTACATGTACAAACTGTTGGCGGCAGCACAAGCAATCAAGTTGTCTGTAGGATGCCAGGCCAAATGGATTAATTTGGACGTCACGTCACATGGAACCCCATTGCTTGTATCAGTGTTCGGACTCTCATGCTCATGACCTGTAATCAGAGGGTAACAAAGAACAGGGAGAAACATATCAAAAGGCTGAAGGAAATCTGGAGGCAAAATCACAGGGGAAAAAAAAACAGACCTCGTTGGTTATGTCCACGAGCAAATCTGGTGAACAATCTTGTGGTTTTAGGACCATTATGACTATGTGATATCCTGGTAAGAACATCATAAATGAGGTAATTGTTTGGCTTGACAAAACTCTCACGTAGATCAGGTACACCAAACAAATAAATTCTAACAATGAGGAGTCTAAAGAAAATTCTTTTTTATGTGTTTCCTAGCAGTATAAGTGTCACAATAATATTACTTTTTGCATTTTGATAGCAACGAGATCTTGTTTTAAATTCTTAAAGGATCTATGAGTGTGACTGCTGTAATTTGCTTATTTTATCAATTTAAGTAGATGAAACAAGTTGGGTGTCACCCAATGGCAATGGCCACCTTCCACAGAAGGTAAATATAGAGTGTTAAGAGACTAATAATGCACACCTTTTACGTTAGATAAGTACTAGATGAGAGAGATAAGTAAATGCAATAAAAAACTAACTTTTAGTTGCATTAATAAACAAGTGCAACTAAACGAAAAAAAGTATTTTGAAAAACAAGTCTTGGCTCGTGGAGCACAACAGTGAATTTATATATTTTTTTCTTTAGTGTATCTATTTTTTTTCTTTGTTTTTATTATTATTAATTTCAAGTGCTAGACTACTCTTTGGAAGTTCATTTTATAAATAATGTTAAAAACAACATAAGCAAAAAACACCTGTTCGGATGTCTGCTAGCTTCCAATGCAATCCCTTCATCGGGTCCATCACGGGAGAAAATTTTGAAAGTATTACTGTGAAAGGGAAAATGGCAGAGGTATACAAGTTCGAGACCTTTAAAATATTTTAAAAATATCCTTTTGGCATTATATTTTGAGGTTGTATTTCAAACAAACCTGTAAGAGCCACTAGCAAACTGACTTCCATCCTGGCTGAGGCAGCAGTCAAATTTGTCGAAAATGGAATCGCTATTATATAAATCTGACAACTGCAAAGGTACATCCCAAGTTTTAGTTAGATTTTCAATTCAGAAGCTTATTCATTTTACTCAAAGACTAAACATAACACAACTAGGGAAGCAATTCAATGGAATTTTTCAAATTTAATTATGACTTGTCCTAGTTTGTTCAACCGATCTTTATGGCTCTTCTATTCACTTATTGCAACAAAGTTTGCAGTCGACCATGTGAGTTTCCTAATAACTTCATGCCCTCAAACTATCGTGTCCGCAAACTAAATTCTCACACCAAATCTCACACACAACCCCACAACTGCACAGTGTAGGTTGACTTATACCAATAGGATTCAGCACAATTCCTACCAAGAGAAAATCGCATTTTGCGGTTTATACCAATAGGATGTAGCAAAATTCCTACCAAGAGAAAATAACATTTTGAAGTATCCAACCTCCAAAGTCAACCTGATGCTTTAACATATTAAATAAAATAAAACTAACTATTTAGAATAGATAAAATTACGATTTGAACTCCCCACTTATTCATATTCATCAAGGTCCCACAAAATTAACAGTTTAAAGAAGTGCTTAGGAAAGGACCATGGTCTATGGGATAAATGTTGAGCATTCAAATCATTGAAAATGATCGGACATGAAAAGTATTTGACCATATATCTTAGAACTAATTATTCAAATACATCGGCGGCATGTACAAGGAATTTTTTTTTTACCTAACATTTGATTTGTCAAAAATCTCAAATGATGCCATATGGATTTTCTACTATAAATAAAATGTAAGGCACAATCAGAGGATTTAAGGTCACAATTGTTGGTATTTGCAATAGAAAGTAGATAATCCATGTTGAAGGAAGGGAAAAAACAGATGCAGGTCCCACATGTGCACTAATGATTAAGAAGATCGTGAGTCATCGTGTGCAATAAAGAGCATAAAAGAACACAGATGAAATACCTTAGGTCGAAGATACTCATGTATCTTAAAAGTTGCAACTGGAGAGGTTTCCATATGCAGGTCCCACAACTGCAAATTTGGAGAAAAATTGCTTGGTAAAAAAATATGTTTAATTTGTGCGCTTTGGCACTAAACACATAGAATACAACAGAAAGAAAAGGTCCTGAAAATTTGCAACGACAATAAAAATTATTCAAATCCAGAGGAGGGAATAACAAAGGGTGTGAATATACCATGTGGAAGTAATATTTTACAAATCATAAACACAAATCAAAGAAGAGAAATGTAATACTTACCCCCAAATTACAAAACGTCCCCACATAACTTTGCAAATTTCCTCTGATTCTTTACACTACAGTGCTCATAAAGATCCTTCACAACGTCACTCACCATCTTTGATCCATCCAATACACAATGATATCAGCTTCTTGTTGACTTCTCCATGGGAATTAATTCTTCTATCACTATTTAAGTTCAGGATAATTCTCTATAGCGTACATTTCTCCATGTATCAAACATTCTCAAAATAAGGTTGCAAAAATGGACTCCGTACAATTTCAAACTATCCTTGTTTGATAATTACCCCTTCTTTTGTGTAAGTGGCAAGGCTCAAGCATGTGCGGATTGTGCAATTTCAAATAAGCATGTGCGTTTTGGGCAATAATGAAGCGGAAACAATCCATCACCTCTTCTTCGAGTGTAAGTGTCTAGTATTCTGTGAATATTTGGGAAAACGTTTTGAAACTCCTCAGGGTCAACACACACCCATCTTCCATCCTGCAAATGAGGGGCACTTTGAGAAACCAAAACATCAAAAATAGTTCAAGATTTCTCTGGGATCTGGGAGGGGCTGCGCTCATTTGGGTGATTTGGAGAGAACGTAATAATAGAATTTTTAACAATATTCATCAACAGTATGTTTCCACATTTTATCAAAGCATGATTAATAGCAATCATTGGTCACCTCTTCTTTAAGAAGAGGATAAGGAGCATGTGGAGCACTTTTTCGCACACTGGCGCAGAGGAGATATAGCGACGGTGTTTCTTCCATCGAGCGGAGAGCGGAGCATGACACTGACACGGAGGAGCATTAGTTCTTGCTTTGAGACTTTCTTTTGAGACAATAAGCCTTATGTATTTTGCTCTTTCTTTTTCTTGATGGAGGTTTTACTGCCCTCTTCCTAGTACTTTTCTTTCTTTTTGTATGATTCGGCAGATTTTTGTTGGCTTTTGGGGGATGTTTTGTTAAATACTTATTAATGAAACAACCGGGTGTATGTTGGTACCATAGTCTTTTTTATTAAAAAATAATAATAATATCCCCTTCTTAGATGGTAAACTTTGTGCTAACTTAAGAACATTGCAATATTGAATATTGAAGGTGTTCTACCCTAGAAATTACCAAGACCAATAAGAGCGGCCACATGATAACTAACTGACTCTCAAAGCATCCGCAAGCACAGCCAGATTGATAAGTCAGTCGACTCGCCTCGTGATCTAGATCCGAGATGAAAGCACCTCCAACCCGGATCCCACTAGATATCCGCTCCGATATGAAAGGCGTTCTCCGCTCAGAGCCGATGCAAGGCGTCTCGAACAATTGAACAGCCTGACAAGCATCATCAAAAGTCACATTGCATTTAATGAATGTACAGTTTACGCCCACAATTCGCCGCCCAGTCGTCATCAAGCAATTAATGCAACATCAGCCATTATGACCTTTCGAACAAGAGCCTTCAAAGCTCCTCGAACATGCCATTACTCCAATAGTCCCATCACTATGCAATGGCGACTCAACCAATCAGCTATCGATACGTGTAAAGTAGAATCTGAACCAATACTGCACACACTCAACTAAAATTACCTACGTGCCCCCGTAAACCCTCTATAAATAATGGTGATTTCCACCAAACCAAGGCATGCAATTTTACGCGTAAAAAGTCAACAAGACTATACTCTATTTTTCTCGTCGGATTAACTAGAAACGGTCACTGACTTGAGCGTTGGAGGGCACGTCGAAGGAAACAACCTCCGGTGCCTCTAACCTCTGTCGTATGTGTAGCGATAGATAGCTCAAAGATCCAAGACGGGAGAATCAACCATCAAATACGATTAAGAGATCTAAAAATTAAGTTTAGCCCTCCTAAATCACGTATTAACTTCACGAATTAAACAGAAGGCAAGAATGTAAATAAGAATATAATCTTCCACAGCGGCTAGAAAAAGATGTAGAACAAAGGTTTATCAGATAGTACACAAGAATCCATATGATGTCTTTTTGTCCAACAATGAAATCAAACTTAGAAATCACATCATTTAACTAACTGAGCACAGCAAAAATTTAAGCTATTTGGATAACTTCAGTCTCCTTGATACCCGATTAATTTCTTTAAATGGCAGCATAAATGATGTTTAAAGTGAATTTCAGCGCATCAGCTGCTGGTTGATTGGTAGCACCAAAATAAGTGGAAAAAAAAGAGGTGGGGGGTATATACTCAAAGACACAAACCTTTAAATTCATGTAATCACGGCTCAAAATATGTCTCCCATCTTTAGCAAACTTTATATCGGAGATAGAAGCAACTATCTCTGTGAAAAAGGATCTAGATCCATGGGCTTCACAATGTTGTAATCTGTACAAGAAAACTCAAAATCATATAAAAGTCAAAACAAATTACCAAGCAAATTACATCAGAAATTTGAAAAAGTCAACTCTTTACTAATTGATGATGATGCCAGAATGATAAATAGACAGAACAAGCTCACATTCTTGCATTTTTGTCACATAATGCTGATCGACGCATGTCAACTAGCCGGATGAAACCTCGTGAACTGCTGTAAGCTAGAAGATTACAGTAAGTGGGATGGAATTCCGCAGATGTTATCACCTCTGAATGAAAATTCAACCAATTATAACAAATCAAGCATGCTATGCCATGTGCAGAATGTTGGGAGTCAAAACTCAAGTGTTGAATGAATCTTCAGATATGAAAGATATAGAATGGAAAATGGTCTCTCAAGGTTCGTGACAACAAGTGTAAGAGCATGCTATGCTAGATTGCAGCGCAATCTAGATGATATGGAGAGTAACACTCAGTATTCTGAGTTATGCTCATTGAATGAATGATTACCGGCCCAAATGGTACCTCAATCAGCTGGGAGTTAGATTACTTAGGCATTAGGACATTATAGGGCTGGAATTTTTTATAAAATAAAAATTATGCGCAGAACTCGATTAGCATTCCTCGAGAAGATCATGAAATTGCATAGAAGTCAGAAAGGAATTGGGAGATGATAATGAAAAGTATGCTTCCATTAAAAGCTTTGGCAAATATATCACCTACGAGATCCTCCATGTCAGAAGGCTTCATGTCAACGATATTGAAGCATTGATTACTGATTTCCACATTCCATAGGTTAATTCTAAGATCATCTGCAGATACAAATGTTTCGCCATCACTGCATATGGCATATGACCCATATCAGGTATATGCTAAAGATAATACAAGATCATTCAAAATGGAACCTTATTCAAAATCTCTCTTAACATTATAAGGGGAATTTGCTAATCTAGAAAATAAGGCTTGAGCCCAAGCCAAAATGAAACACTCTGCAGAGGTTTGGACAATGGAACTTCACCTGTTGTTCGATATAGAGTTAATATTGTAATCATGAGCATGTGAATACACCCTTTGACATCTTGAAGAAAAACCCTCTCCAATGTTAAATGCCTGGAAATTGATACACCAGTGAACTCGATAGTTTATCTAAAAGAGTATACATATTTTTGAGTGTTGCATTGCATATCATATACTTGTCTTAGTTAACTCACAATTTGTAACCAATACAAAAAAAAAATGTAGAGCCCACAATCCATCAGCTTAAGCTTTTGACAAAGTGGATTTTTTATTAGGTACCAGAATACCATGATTCAGGAGGTCCTGGATCTAGACCATCAACTCAATTTGAAATATGTTTATTAACCAGGATTTATTCTCTCTTTCCAGATGAGTCATATTTAAACTGGAGCCCTTTCCATGTGGCTCAAAGGTTGGCATGAGTGCAAATGTTATGTTGCTTAAATGCATCTAGTAGCCTAGAACCATCAGCTTAAGCTTTTGGATGAAGAGGCCATTTAAAATTATGAATTGACTGCACTATTATCTTCAAACAATAGTTCAACGGCGACAAAACTTATACCATAGACTGGTAATTGTAAACTCAGAATAACTTCCAGAGCGCAAGGATGGGCGTAGTTCAGCTTTGGCCTGAACTAATAATATATTTAATTTTCTTGAGGCCAATCTGGACAATTTGTGGTTGGACTGAGCACATGTTAGAACTAAATGGATCAGGTTCAAGCCGTAATCCAACTAATTCTCTAACCACATGTCATGTGCGATCTAATCAGTATATATGACTTAAGATTAATATAAAAAATAGATCAACTCCATCAAGGTTCAACTCAGAACTCAAACCTCATTAGAACTTTATGAGAGATAGCTATTGAATTATTTAGCATTAATACATGTTAGCATAAATATGTGCCCAAGGATCTTCATAGTATCATAACACTTACCATGCTAGGACCATCATGAGATCTTGGAGATGTACTCTGAGGGTTTTTATTTAGCAAGTCAAGATGATAACAGTTTGAAAGAGATGTATCGCTTTGACCTGCCATGAAACTCTTCTCAGCCAAAAGCACATTTTCTGAAAATACATGTGGAGTTGGGTCCACATGAACAATTTCCTTAACTTTTTTCACTTTGTGTTGCAACACCTGATTACCAAACGGGCAAACTGCATTATGCAGGGTTCCTATAACCATTTATTTTCTTTGCATTGAACTGATAACTTATTTCATCAGAAGAAAAAGAAAATGAAAAACTAAAAGAATGATAGAAAGAAACAGGAAAAGAAAAACAGTTTACAATACACAGTCTATATTTTCACCAAAAATATTATTTTTTAATGAAACCTACCTTCCAGAGCTTAATCGTCCTGTCATTTGTGGAAAGGATAAATTGAGAGTTGTTGGGAGCAGCACACCATCTCAGTTTGTTGATCTTCTCTTGAACTTCCAAACTTTTTAAATAATCAAACTACAAATGGCAAATATCATTAGAAACAACAGTCCAAATAGCAACATGTGCCATGTTTTAATCAGCCAGAGTTTTCGGCATAATTGAATCGTAAAGTTTCTAAAAACACACCTCGGGCTCATGACTTTGAAATTCTGTCTTATAGACATATTTAGGATTCGCTGTAGCAGGATGATCCATGCCTTCCAACACTTTCCGAGAAGTTTGCTGGTACATGTTTCGCGAATCAACTGAATACGTCAAGTCACCTTTCAAACTTCGCTATGCAAAAAATACATGTCTAGAGTGTGGATCTAATGCATAACACATCCTGTTATATGCATAGTAATGCACAAATATTTGAACAAAATAATGAAACTTACGTCGTCATCATTTATCTTTTTGAAAAGAACGACTCGACCACCATGATCTCCAGTTGCTAAATACTCCCCTCTACGATCAAACTCAATTGCAGATATAATATCAACTGCAAACAGATAACTTTAACTTGACCAGTATCATGTAGGACAGTGAAGCATCAGGGCTTTAACTTTTAGCTAAATTTTACATTACACAAACAAAGAGCTAAACTAGTAACCCACAGTTCTTACATTGTTTCTCTCAAAAATAAAATAAATAAAATAAAAAAATAAAAAAAGGCCCGCACATTGTAAAATACCAGTTGCTTAAGTGAGTTAACTTGTTACCAGCTGCTTAACAATAGAACACCACTTCTTGAGCAAGAAAACTAACTTCGTAAAAGATAATATCTGAAAATTGTTAGAGGTCAAGCAAGAAAGCAACCAATGTGTTGCCAAATCGCATTACAAATAGCTGGAAATTTTGCTATGTTCCTTGCTTAGATAATTGTGAAGATTCATAAATTACATTTTTTAGTCTTCCAATTTTACTATTTGTTCCCCCTTAACAAATAGCTGAAAATCGTTACAAGCTGAAAACTGTTACAAGCTTAGGCGGGCAGGTGCACCCCTAAAGATTGTGAAAACTTACATTTCATAGTCTTCCAATTTTACTGCTTGTCTCCCATAGTTTAAAAATAGGGCAAATATCAGAAAACACCCCTAATTTTGGATGATTGCCAAAGAAAACCCTTAACTATCATTACCTTAGAAGCAAATCAATACAGTCACCAAAATTTCCAAAATTTAGCAAATTAGCATCCTTCTCTAAACTTTTATCTTCCCATAACTTATACACTTAATTAAAATTTTATAAAAGAAATAAATAAGAAAAAAGGTATTAATTGCTGACCATCTTCAACGGGATCGCCGGGGGCACGCTCGCCAAAGACCTGCGAGAATTTCCATTCCGCCGCCATTTGCCAAATTCTCTCGCCCTCGATTACTCTGATGGCTCAAAACTAGGGAACTGAATTTTTTTTTTCTTTTTTTATTTGAATTTATTCGCCAGGAATTGCTTTGTTCTCGATGACGACGGTTCGGTCGCGTAAATAATAGCAACTACAAATATGTTATCTTTGTTGCGTTCTTTCCATCTAATTTTACTCACTTATCCTCTCACTCTCACTCTCTCTCTCTCTATAAAAAAACTCCTTAGCCTAAAAACTAAAAATCACTATTATCCATTGGATCTAGATGAATCCAATGGCTGGGAGTCAGTCAAACAGTCAACAAAACATGCATTAATTATATGCATTAATTACATGCATTAATTAGCTCAACGAACACAAATCTGGATTCACTACAGTGAAAAACGTGTTCGTTAAGGTAATGAATCTGGATTCACTGTAGTGAAAAATGTGTTCGTTGAGGTAATGAATCTAGATTCACTGCAGTGAATCTGGATTCACTGCAGTAAAGGACGTGTTCGTTGAGGTAATGAATCTGGGTTCACTGTAGTGAATTTGGATTCACTGTGTTGATGTAATTAATACATGTGTTTAATGAGGTAATTAATGCATGTGTCTGTTGACTGTTTAACTGAATCCTAGCCATTGGATGAAGGAGGTTTTTAGTTTTTAGGCTAAGGAGGTTTTTATTAGAACCTCTCCCATTTTTTAAATAACCATCTACAAAAATAACCATCTACAACCAACATTAAAAACTTTAATGAACAGTAACATATGGTATTTTAACAATAACAGTTACATAGATAGATAATGATAATACACAAGATATTTCCCACGTTCCCACATTTTCATGAATAACCAACTAAGCTTCTGAAACTTCCCACGTTCTCCTCCAACTCCACACCCACTCTCCTACAAATTGGTTTTTTCCTTCTCACCCACAACCACAGTATACTGTTTTCCTTCTACACCACACCAAAAATAAGCTTCTGAAATTGTTTCTGAAACATCTGCATCAGAAATTTGAAGGTTAGAATTCTCATCTTTTTAATTAATTTATTTATTTATTTATTATTTATTATTTCATTTATTCATTTAAAGGTGTTATCTTATGATACAATTAAATTGGATAAACTTGGATGTTCAGAGCATGTAATTGGGTATTCAAAATGAAGAAATTAGCATTTCATGTTGCAACTTGCTTGATAATTGAAAAAGAAAAATTAAAAATAGAAGATAAAGGAGGATAAAAAATCCAAAAAAATCCAATACAATCAACGTTAATTTTGAATAAAAATTGACTTTTCATTTGTTTTGGGCAACTGGATATGTTTACTGACAATAAAAAAAAGGAGATGTGAGTTAAAAATAAAAGAGAAAGGAGAGGAGAAAAAACTCAATTAATCCACATTGGTTTTCAAAAAAAAGTTGAGTTTACATAGGTTTTAGCAAATGGAGCTGATAATTTTTCCATCAAAAGTTGGAGATGTGAATTAAAAATAGAAGAGAAATGTCAAGGACAAAAACTCAATACATAAAAATCTTTGGAGATTGATATCGAACTTACCTCTGTAGTTGATCCCATGCATTATCACCTAGAATCAAGTTGATTGCATATTGAAGGATTGTCTGGATGAATAAACTTTTGGATGAGAAGTTGATGATACATCCACACTGACAGGCGAGCTTTCCATTATTTACATTCCAATCAAAATTAAGTTTACAACGGATATTTAATCGATAATACTTTACTTTTATGCATTAGCTATTGCATTCCTTTGTAGGGAGGCAGAAAAAGGAATACATTTTCTCATCTTCACAGGAAAAAATTCAAAGTATAGAGAAGCAACCAGCCCTGTTTAATGACAAAGAAAAAAATGAAGGTGTGAATTTAAAATAGAAGAGAAAGGAGAGAGAATAAATAAATAGAAGATCCAAATCTTTCAATAATGTAATTAAACTTACTGGAAAAAAATTTAGATGAAGAGGTGAGGAAACATCCACTCTAGGAGGCGAGAATGCAAAATTTACATTACAAGTGAACTTTTAACGGACGCACAATACTGGAAAATATGGCACAATGTTAGTAATTGAACTCTGAAAAATTACATGAGGTACATAGTATAGTAAACAATCAAGACTAATAACCAGAATAAAAAGTGTAGCAAAACTACAGTACAATTATTTATGTCGGACTTTGTTTACTGGTCATTCAATTCGAGAACAAAATAGAAAGAGCTGGTTGAAATAATTTTTGTGAGTCTAGCGCAGACATTAATCTGTGCAGGCTATTGGATGTTAGACACATAATTGCCGCCGGACAATGGTAAAATATAAAAAAGTCACAGGATCGACGGGGAGTTAGAAAGTTAACAGAGGAAAGACCCTTATTTAAGCAAGCAGAATGAGAAAACAAATTAACGTAGCAAGCACAAGGAGTTCGATAAAAGGCTTGTCGCGGCTGCCTATATAAATGCATACATATTATACTTGATATACTTTTTTATGTCTTTCCCACTGTATTCACAAGATAATGCTTATATTACTAGATGCAACTTTTCAAAAGACAATTTTGCCTACCAAATATTTAAGCTACAAGTTCATGCCAATAGATGCATTAATTTATCAATGTACAGCTTTTGATGCTTTTCAAACACAAGAAAACATTTAGTTTGTGCATGAAATCCACAATTCTATAAAACCAAGTTCGCAAGAATCCACAATCGTTCACGCCAGTACTATATACCAATGTTATACATCGACAAAAATATCAACAGCTAAAGGAATAAATTTCCTTCATCAAGAGTTGAGCATTACCTTAGATCATGGCAAGCTGTTGGAGTCAAGAACCAACTTGGCATTTTCCGAGTTTTGGCAGCCGGTGTGGAAAACCTGAAGGCGATACTTCCAACTTCGTTTCCTCAACAAAGCTACCCAGTCCTCAAATCGCCGCGGCTGTTACATCTCCCAACAAAGCAGACACCTTCACAAGTCCACAGACAAACATAAGTTGTCGAAATATCAAGTGACATGAGAAAAAACAAAACAACCCTAAGAGAAAAAATTACCCTAGCGCGACAGGGAGGTTTCTTTGTCCCCTTCACTCTCCTGCAGAAATAAAATGATAATTCAGAAGCTGTGATTTAGTATTATTTATGTTGAACTTGTTTACTGGCTATTAGGGACCAGAGTTTGATGAGCAACCTCCAACTATACTTTCAATTTATTTGAGTTTTAGTGATCTTTGTCTTCCAATCTAAAATATCATACAGAGGTGTTAGTGGTTTCAGCAGGGGCTTTTCAAATAAGTTCCTCTTAATTTAAAGAGATAAAACAACAAGTTCCTGTTAATGTAATGAGACAAATACAAGCCTCCAAGTAAACGCAAATATTTTCTGTTAGCTCCATAGCATACATCAAAACATTTAGCAAGAAGGGTACGTTACAAATCAAAGGGTTTGCACACTCACTAACTCGCAGCAAACATGGAGACGATCAACAGAGTTCATCTCAAGGTAACTACACAAATATGAGAATCTGATGCATTTTAGTTATAATATTTGGACTATATGTCTAACAGTTGTATATGTACGCAGGATTTGGCATGCTAAACCAAGGGATTTGACACTAAGACAGATCAAAAGGAAGATGAGAAATCAACATTATCCTACTCAGAATAACATCCTTGAGCCTGAAAAACAACAGCATGATCAAATAATTGTTGATAATGAAGTGAATGCCAACAGCAAAAGGCAAAAAATGCGTCAGTATAAAAGCCAGAAGCAATTATACCTTCTATCATCAATGCAACCGTTGAAGCTACAAATGAGCAGCAGACAAGTAAGAAAACATATAATATTGAAGCTAAATTAACCTGTATAGTAGCGTAATAAAATGAACTATAAAGTTAATTACAATTTCAAACATGAAGGACTTTATTGTTAAAAATCATGTTAGATAACACATTTTACTGAATTGCACCTCTTAAAAATTTTAATTTTGTATGAATATGATATAATGGCACTATTAAATGCTATTCTTATTGAATTGCAGTTGACGCAAAATAAGGCACAAAATTTTGGACCACCCAAAGTTATTTGTGAATATTGCCAAGCTATGCTGTGGTACGAGGAAAGAGCAGAAAAATCTTGGAAACCAAGAAGCACTTCCTTTCTTTGTTGTGGCAAAGGGAAAATAAAATTCCCTCTGTTAAAAGAACCTCCCATTTTTCTTCGAGAACTTTTATACCCAGTGGAAGCAGACAAAGTAATAAATTTAAGGAAAATATCAGTCCTATAATAGTATTTTTGCTTACTTCCTCGGGAGGAAATATTGAATAATACTTACAATAATGGTGGAGACCATATTGTTTCCCTGTCTGAATGGTCAAAATCATCATCGTATAGGGTCTTTGAAACCTGTACCTGGAACAGCTCCAAAATTTTGTCAATTTATACATTATATTACTGAAAATGAAATCGAAACAGGATGATGTCCATCAAATGTACAACAAAACTAGATGAGGGTATTGTCAAGGACTACTTGAAATGTTAGATCTCAACAATGTATTAGTCAAAAGCTTCCGCATGGTACGAGATAGAATTAATGGAGATGAGTTAATGACAGTTAGATTGGTGATCATGGCGTCAAAGGAGTGGTGATGGGAGGAAACAAAATATGCCATCTGCATCAGAAATTGCAGGACTAATTGTGGAAATGTTGAAGAAACAATAGGTATTCGAGATATTGTTGTCGATGATCGAAAGTTAGGATTGTCAAGAATTAGTGACCTAACACCCCTGCTTCATGGCAATGCAATACCCATTTCTTTTTCCTATGGAGGATGGCTATAGGCTGGAGAGTAAAGTTATGGAAGCATCAAATAACAAGTTGAAAAAAAGAAAAGATGTGACAATGAGGGAATATGCTACTTTTCGTATACAACAGCGTCAAGTGAAGGAAGACATTACTTTACTCTGGAAAATTATTCCAAACCTATATTGTTGATCTGTTTACATGCATTGAAGAGATAGACTTCACTGGGTTAAACAAATCAAACCAAGATTAGAGCTGAATTGTACTGTGGAATAAAGGATGCTGTTTTTAGAGGAGATACAGAAGGATCTCAAGTTGACAAAGGATTGTATTGCCATCTTCTTCACAGGAGGTCCACGTTATATGAATCAAAATTATCAAGATGCAATATCTCTATGTCGTGTTATGGGGAATCCGGATCTTTTTATAACAATGACAGCAAATCCAAGGTGTGTTAGAAATCAAAGCAACGTTAGAAGAAATGGTGGACAAGATCAAATGACGAGCCGCCAGAAAGGAGAGAGAATAAATAAATTAGCAAGATCCAAATGCTTTCAATAATGTAATTAACTTACTGGAAAAAAATTTAGATGAAGAGGTGAGGAAACTTATTTTTTTTTTATTGTGATGACTCTTTTCCACTCTAGGAGGCGAGATGCAAATATATTACATTACAAGTGAACTTTTAACGCGACGCACACAAACTGGAAAATATGGCACAATGTAGTAATTGAACTGCTGAAAAATTACATGAGTACATTAGTATGTAAACAATCAAGACTAATAACCAGAATAAAAAAGTGTAGCAAAACTACAGTACAATTATTGTATGTCTGGACTTTGTTTACACTGGTCATTCAATATCGAGAACAAAGATAGAAAGACTGGCTTGAAATATATTTTTGTGAGTCTAGCGCACATTAATCTGTGCAGGCTATTGGATTGTAGACACATAATTGCCGCGGACAATGTAAATATAAAAAAGTCACAGCGATCGACGGGGTAGTTAGAAAGTTAACAGAGGAAAGACCCTTATTTAAGGGCAAGCAGAATCGGAGAAAACAAATTAACGTAGCAAGCACAGAAGGATTCGATAAAAGGCTTGTCGCGGCTGCCATATATAAATGCATACATATTATACTTGAATATACTTTTTTTATGTCTTTCCCACTGTATTCACAAGAATAATGCTTATATTACTAGATGCAACTTTTCAAAAGACAATTTGTCAGCTACCAAATATTTAAGCTACAGAGTCATGCCAATAGATGCATTAATTTATCGAAATTTGTATACAGCTTTGATGCTTTTCAACACAAGAAAACATTTAGTTTTGTGCATGGAAATCCACAATTCTATAAAACCCAAGCTTCGCAAGAACCAGCAATCGTTCGACGCGGCAGTACTAATACCAATGTTACTACCATCGACAAAAAGTATCGAACAAGTCTAAAAGAATAAATTTCCTCATCAAGAGTTGAGCATTAGGCCTTAGATCATGCGCAAGCTGTTGGAGTCAAGAACCAACTCGGCATTTTCCGAGTTTTTGGCAGCCGGTGTGGAAAACCTGAAGGCCGATACTTCCAAACTCGTTTCCTCAACAAAGCTACCCAGTCCTCAAATCGCGCGCTGTTACATCTCCGCAACCAGAAGAGACACACTTCACAAGTTCCACAGACAAACATAGAGTTGTCGAAATATCAAGTGACATGAGAAAAAAACAAAACAACCCTAAGACGAAAAATTACCACGTAGGCGACAGGGAGGTTTCTTTGTCCCCTTCACTCTCCTGCAGAAATAAAATGATAATTCAAGAGCTGTGATTTAGTATTATTCTATGTTAACTTTGTTTACTGGCTAATTAGGACCAGAGTTTAGATGAGCAACCTTCCAACTATACTTTCAATTTTATTTGAGTTTTAAGTGATCTTTGTCTTCAATCTAAAATATCATACAGAGGTGTTAGTGGTTTCAGCAGGCGGCTTTTCAAATAAGTTCCTCTTAATTTAAAGAGATAAAACAACAAGTTCGCTGTTAATGTAATGAGATCAAAACAAGCCTCCAAGAAACGCAAATATTTTCTGTTAGCCTCCATAGGCATACATCAAACAATTTAGGCCAAGAGGTGTACGTTTACAAATCAAAGGTTTTGCACCTCACTAACTCGCAGCAACTGGAGCGACGATCAACAGAGTTCATCTCAAGTAACTACACAAAATATCGAGAATCTGATGGCATTTTATTATGGATTTTTTTTTTTTTTTATTTTTTTAATATTGATATTTTATGTCTAACAGTTGTATATGTACGCAGGATTGGCATGCTAAACCAAGGGATTTGACACTAAGACAGTATCAAAAGGAAGATGAGAAATCAACATTATCCTACTCAGAATAACATCCTTTGAGCCTGGCAAAACAACAGCATGATCAAATAATTGTTGATAATGAAGTGAATGCCCAACAGCAAAAGGCAAAAAATGCGTCAGTATAAAAGCCACAGATTATACCTTCTATCATCAATGCAACCGTTGAAGCTACAAATGAGCAGCAGACAAGTAAGAAAACATATAATTTGAAGCTTAATTAACCTGTATAGTAGGTAATAAAATGAACTATAAAGTTAATTTACAATTTCAAACATGAGGACTTTATTGTTAAAAATCATGTTAGATAACACATTTTACTGAATTGCACCTCTTAAAAATTTTAATTTTGTATGAATATGTATAATGGCACTAATTAAAATGCTATTCTTATTGAATTGCAGTTGACCAAAATAAGGCACAAAATTTTGGACCACCCAAAGTTATTTGTGAATATTGCCAAGCTATGCTGTGGTACGAGGACAAGAGCAGAAAAATTTGGAAAACCAAAGACCTTCCTTTCTCTTGTTGTGGCAAAGGGAAAATAAAATTCCCTCTGTTAAAAGAACCTCCCAGTTTTTCTCGAGAACTTTTATACCCCAAGTGGAAGCCAGACAAAGTAATAAATTTAAGGAAATAATCAGATCCTATAATAGTATTTTTGCTTTTACTTCCTCGGGAGGAAATATTGATAATACTTACAATAATGGTGGAGGACCATATTGTTTCCGTCTGAATGGTCAAAATCATCATCGTATAGGGTCTTTGAAACCTGTACCTGGAACAGCTCCAAAATTTTGTCAATTATACATATATGATACTGGAAAATGAAATCGAAAACAGGATGATGTCCATCAAATGTAACCAAACAAACTAGATGAGGGTATTGTCAAGGACTACTGAAATGTTAGATCTCAATCAATGTATTAGTCAAAAGCTTCCGCATGGTACGAGATAGAATTAATGAAGATGAGTTAATGACAGTTAGCATTGGTGATCATGGCCGTCAAGGGAGTGGTGATGGGAGGAAACAAAAAATGGCCATCTGCATCAGAAATTGCAGGACTAATTGTGGGAATGTTGAAGAAACAATAGGTATTCCGAGATATTGTTGTGCGATGATCGAAAGTTAGGATTGTCAAGAATTAGTGAGCGGCTACACCCCAGCTTCATGGCAATGCAATACCATTGCTTTTTCCTTATGGAAGGATGGCTATAGGCTGGGAGTAAAGTTATTGGAAGCATCAAATAACAAGTTGAAAAAAAAGAAAAGATGGACAATGAGGGAATATGCTCTTTTCGTATACAACAGGCGTCAAGCTGAAGGAAGACATTACTTTACTCTGGAAAATTATTCCAAACCTATATTGTTGATCTGTTACATGCATTGAAGAAGATAGACTTCACTGGGTTAAAAACAAATCAAACCAAGCATTAGAGCTGAATTGTTACTGTGGAATAAAGGATGCTGTTTTTAGAGGAGATACAGAAGGATCTCAAGTTGGACAAAGGATTGTATTGCCATCTTCTTTCACAGGAGGTCCACGTTATATGAATCAAAATTATCAAGATGCAATATCTCTATGTCGTGTTATGGGGAATCGGATCTTTTTATAACAATGACAGCAAATCCAGGGCTGTTAGAAATCAAAGCAACGTTAGAAGAAATGGGTGGACAAGACAAATGAGAGGCCAGATATTGTAGCAAGAGTCTTTAAAATCAAACTTGACCAGCTAATGGAGGACCTTCAAAAAAATTGTCATTTTGGAAAATGTATTGGCGGTATGTTCATTTCTTTAACATTTTACCCAATGCAAAAAATCTAATCATTATTCACAATAATATTTATAAATAATAATTATGAATAGTATATTTGCATATGCATAAACAGCTAATATGACAGTCAAAATTTAAAGGCATTAATTTATAGAGTACATAGAGTACATGTTTAGTGATTTATCAGTGTCATAAATTAAGTGATATATACCCTTAGGTGACATATGATCATTTGCATACACAAAGTTATGTCTAACTTTATTTCACAATTTAGTATCTCAAGTTGACACACACATGTACATGCACACATTATCAATTTTAATTTATGAACACTCAGTTAGCTGTTGATTATATATTAGCATGAATGAATCAGATGTATACACTCATACATAAGATTATCCTACTTTTGACAAATGATAAGGCATTAATTTATAGAGTACATGTTAGTGATTTTATCAGTGTCATAAATTAAGTGATATATACCCTCAGGTAACATATGATCATTTGCAGACACAAAATTATGTCTAACTTTATTTCACAATTTAGAATCTCAAGTTGACACACACATGTACATGCACACATTATCATTTTCAATTTATGAACACTCAATTAGCTGCTGATTATGCTAATGGATAATAACATATAAAGTTCATATATACAAACAAAATTCTTTCAGAAAGCAAATTAATTTACTAAATGGATAATAACATATAAAGTTCAAGTTAATGAAATACTTAAGCAAGGTGAGTTAATGAAATACTTAAACAGAACAAAGAAAAACATGATGATCGAATTTTATCTGACCAAATAAATGATAATAAGTTAGAAGATGAGAAAGCAGAAGTATTCATTTGTTAACACTACCATATTTTAACTATGACACTATAGAATAGCTATATAATTTCCCCTGCCACTTCTCTAAACAACAAGAAGATACAATCAAAAGAAGTTTAAGTAGTTCAAATCCACATAATAAGAAGTAACCAAACAAGTTACCTTCAAAGGCCTCCTTCGCCTGAGGATGCTTGCATTTATTAGGGTGAACTATCAGAGAAATGCAAAAGAACACTCAATTAAATTTACATTCTAATTACAAATCTGTGTCATAGTTATAAACCAATATGTGTACATACTCATTATGAAAGTGATAGCATGTGTAATTTCAAAAGATGAAAACAAATCAAGCCAATATTAGATTCTTCACACACACACACACACACACACACACATCAGAACCATATAAATTTAAACACACACATCAGAACCATATAAATTTAAGAAACTACGTAACTAAAGAAACCTAAACATTCAGATAAATTTTAAATTTCAGCGACTTATTTTCCAGCAAATTAATCTGTTCCAGTATGCAAACAGAGAATAGGAAATCTTCAAAAATTATCACTATGAAATACTTCCTGTACAAAATAAAATTATATATACCTTTGGAGGTTATAATATAAGCCACAATCTTTAACGCATCAAATGTAATTCCGCCATTTTGCCCTCTGAAATAGACCTTCGGGCCACTGGGTATACATTTTTACACTGTGACTACATTTTTAGTTTTCAACACTCCCCAATGCTTATGCATTGGCCATTACAAGTGCTTACGCACAGCAGTCCATAGTCCATAGACAAATAACAGCTACCCAAGAGGAAATAAATGGGAACAGAAACATATAAATGTCGACGCATGTACGACCCAAGCGATATATAATATATTTACATATATAATCCTCAAATATATAAATTAAACGATAGAAGGGTTAATATAACATAAAATTATGTTTGTACCAATGTTTTTTAGTAAATTTAAGACTCTTACATTTATTAAAAAAAATTAAAGTTCGACGACAAGAATGATATATACGAACAATCTGTTTAGTAGTTTACATGTGACTATAAATTGTCATAATACATGTGATAATTAGAATCAGATATTATAACTCACTTTCTCCACCATGCATATATCTACCAAAGAAATAATCTATCTATTACAAAATATTCTAGAAATAAGACTAAACTTTGTATTAGACAGTTGGTTAATAGCTTATAGTTACAAGAACACTCAATTAAATGTACATTCTAATTACAAATCTGTGTCATAGTTATAAACCAATATGTGTACATACTCATTATGAAAGTGATAGCATGTACAATTTCAAAAGATGAAAACAAATCAAGCCAATACAATTCTTTACACACGTATGTAATGCATGTTTGTACCAATGCTTTTTAGTAAATTTAAGACTCTTACTTATATTAAAAAAATTAAAGTTTGACAACAAGAGCGATATATACAAACAAAATTCTTTCAGAAAGCAAATTAATTTACTAAATGGATAATAACATATAAAGTTCAAGTTAATGAAATACTTAAGCAAGGTGAGTTAATGAAATACTTAAACAGAACAAAGAAAAACATGATGATCGAATTTTATCTGACCAAATAAATGATAATAAGTTAGAAGATGAGAAAGCAGAAGTATTCATTTGTTAACACTACCATATTTTAACTATGACACTATAGAATAGCTATATAATTTCCCCTGCCACTTCTCTAAACAACAAGAAGATACAACCAAAAGAAGTTTAAGTAGTTCAAATCCAGATAATAAGAAGTAACCAAACAAGTTACCTTCAAAGGCCTCCTTCGCCTGAGGATGCTTGCATTTATTAGGGTGAACTATCAGAGAACTGCAAAAGAGGTTACAAGACTAATGTTTAGGAAGTGTTGGTAGAATTTTCACTAAAAAAGTGAAGAAAGGAAAATCATTAGCTATAAGCACACCTTTCAAAATTTTAGTGTTTCTTCACTTTTTTTAAACAGCTAGCCCTGCAATACAATCCTTTGATCATTTGTTTTAGGCATGTTTACATCACAAGGTTTTTTCATGTTAATTTGATATATACTCTCACTTATTATTTATTTTCATACACAAGTATCATTTATTTAACCAGGTGGTTGTATAGTGGTTTAAACTGATACATGTATAGAAATAAGACTAAACTTTGTATTAGACAGTTGGTTAATAGCTTATAGTTACAAGAACACTCAATTAAATGTACATTCTAATTACAAATCTGTGTCATAGTTATAAGCCGATATGTGTACATACTTATTATGAAAGTGATAGCATGTGTAATTTCAAAAGATGAAAACAAATCAAGCCAATACAATTCTTTACACACGTATGTAATGTATGTTTGTACCAATGCTTTTTAGTAAATTTAAGACTCTTACTTCTATTAAAAAAATTAAAGTTTGACAACAAGAACGATATATACAAACAAAATTCTTTCAGAAAGCAAATTATTTTACTAAATTGAAAATAACATATAAAGTTCAAGTTAATGAAATACTTAAGCAAGGTGAGTTAATGAAATACTTAAACAGAACAAAGAAAAACATGATGATCGAATTTTATCTGACCAAATAAATGATAATAAGTTAGAAGATGAGAAAGCA